TGGAGGACTAGGTGATGGCAATTAGAATGGAGAGAAATGGATGGCTTAAAGTTAGGTTTAAGAGTAGATTCAGGGCCAGGTGCAGTGGCGCACACCAGTAATCCCAGTGGCTCGGGAGGCGGAGGCAGGAGGATCGGGAGTTCAAAGCCAGCCTCAGAAATCTAGTGAGGTACTAGGCAACTTAGTGAGACCCTGTCTTTCATAAAATACAAAATAGGGCTGGGGATGTGACAGTGGCTGAGTGCCCCTCAGTTCAATCCCTGGTACCCCCGCCCAAAAAAAAGAGTGGATTCAGAGCTAGGGAAATAGCTCAGTTGGTAGAGTACTTCCCTTGCACGCACAAGGCCCTGGGTTCAATCCTCAGCACCACCATCAAAAAAAAAAAAAAAAAAAAGTAGATTCAATAGCACTTGGTATTGACTCAATGTGGGAATGCAGGGGAAAAAAAGGATAAAGGATGACTCAAGTATCTAGCAAGAGCACACATCACATCTTATTCTCCAGCTGTACTGAATTACTTGCAGTTCCCTAAGCCTTTATGCTTCTCTCATAAGTACAGAAGCACCCTTACATCACCTTTTAGCTGCAAAATGCTGCCTCATCCTAGCCTTCCCAAGCATACCCAGACCAGATGCTCAGCTGTATGCTCCCATAGTCTCCCCTCACCCCATGCTTGCCTTCATTACAGCACTTAACACACTATGCTGTGATCACATACAGTCATGTATCACTTAACTATAGGCCTACATTCATTTCAGAAATGCACCATTAGGTAATCTCATCACTGTGTGAGCATCACAGAGTATACTTACAAAACTAAAACAAATACAATATAACTTTATGGGACCACTATCGTATATGTGGTTTGTCACTGATGAAAATGTTATATAGCACATGACTGTATTTATCATTTTATCTTCCCTATGGGACCAAATGCTCCTGAGTTTAAAGATCATTTTTGGTTGTTTTAATCTCTATAATGCCAGTGTCTACTTCTCATCAATCTGTATGTCACAGGGACAGAAAAAGCAAACTGAGTTCTTGGGATCTACTACAAGAAAAAAAGAAAGCTGGAACCTGACCAGGGCTTAAAAAAAACAGATAAAAACAGCACTGTGGTTATCTTAATGGATAAAAGAAGAGCTAAAACTACATGTTTTTTTCTTCTCAATGCTGGGGATCAAACCCAGGTGTCACACATGCTAGGCAACAACTCTTACCACTGAACTATAACCCCAGCCCCAAAACTGCAGAATTCTTCCTCAAGTGCTAGTAGCTTAGAAATAAAAACACAAACTCACAGATGTAAATTTTTAAAAATTAAGGGAAATAGTTCTCCTAGGGTAAAAAAATATATATAAATAGTGTCAGGTGGTGTTATATACACCTGGAAAACTAGCAACTCAGGAGGCTAAGGGAGGAAGATCACAAGTTTGAGGCCAGGCTCAGCAATTTACAAGGTCCTGTCTCAAAATAGAAAGGGTCAGGAATGTACAGTGCTCCTGGGTTTAATCCCTCGTAAGGTTTGGATGTGAGGTGTCCCCCAGAAAGCTCATGTGTGAAACAATACAAGAAGGTTTAGAGGAGAAACGATTGGGTTATGAGCCTTAACCCAATCAGTGAATTAATCCCTGATGGGATTAATTGAGTGGTGACTGAAGGTGATTAGGGTGTAGGTGAAGGAGATGGGTCAATGGGGGTGTGTGCCTTTGGGTATATATTTTTATATGGTGAGTAGGGTCTCTGTTTCCTGATCATCAAGTGAATTGCTTCCTTCCACCACACTAATCCACCATGAAGTTCTGCCTCACCTCCAGCCCTAAAAATGAACCCAGCTGTGAATGGACTGAGGCCTCTGAAACTGGGAGCCGCCATATAAAATCTTCCTCCTCTAAAATTGCTCTTGTTAAGTCTAAAACAATCCCCAATTTCTGTTTCTTTCTCGCATTTACAAGGTTTTTACTATAAAAAAATAAAATAATTAATAAAATCTATGGGTCTAATGAAAGCTCACATGCTGAAAATGCCTTCTCTGAGATCAACATAATAAAAACAAACTCATGTAAACATTTTTTTTTTTGGTAGTACCAGGGATTAAACCCAGGGTCTTGAGTATGCTAGACATGTGCTCTACCAGTGAGCTACAGCCCCAGCCTTTATGACATTATTTAAAAGTAAATAAATATCTTATGAAAAAGAGAATGCTAGAAAAGATTAGTTATAGGCTGTGGTTGTGGCTCAATGGTAGAACGCTTCCCTGGCATATATGAGGCACTGGGTTTGATCCTCAGCACCACATAAAAATAAATAAAATGAAGGTATTGTGTCCATTTACAACTGGAAAAAAATGTAATAAAAAAAAGAAAATTAAAAGATTACCTACATCCTTTTAAGAAGGATTCCCAACGTAAGGGCCAACATCAAAGATAGACACAAAAGGCTTTCTCAAATTGTCCTTTGGTACTTTCATTTTTTAAGAAGTTGGATAGTATAGCTAATCCAACAGAACAAGTTATCTCTTACCCAAAAGGCTGCCAGTTTGAGGCAGTACTATCTAAACTAGGAGAGGGAAGCAGTAAGAGATTCTACCACAGCAGCAACTCCAACATGCTTCTATAACACATGAATACGGGGCTCCAAACATACTGTAGTACATAGGAAGTGGTAGTTTAATTTATAAGTAATGACCGCTTTCCAAGTCATTCACAAAACAACTAAAAACTAAGAAAGATAAAGGAAGACAAACAGGGATTTTAAATTAAACTCCAAAGGGGGCTAAGGATATAGCTCAGTTGGTAGAGTGCTTGCCTTGCATGCACAAGGCCCTGGGTTCGATCCCCAGCACCAAACAAACAAACAAAAAAAAAAACATAAAAACAAATTAAACCCCAAAGGAGTTAGGCACAGTGGTACACATCTGTAATCCTGGCATCTTGGGCGGCTAAGGCCAGAGTATCGAAAGTTTGAGGTAGGCCTCAGCAATTTAGCAAGATCCTCTCTCCAAATAAAAAGAAAAAAAGGGGTTGGAAATATAGCTCAGTGGTAGAGAACCCCTGGGCTCGATCTCCAGTACCCTCAACACAAACACCCAAAAAATATCCAAAGGAAAAAAACCCTCCTATCCCACCACTTTTGACTCATTCTTAGAAAAACATGCCTCCAACTTCAAAGAGAAAATAAAAAACAAAAAGCCCTCTCTTATCTTTCTCCCACAATGTCCACAAATTTACCTGCATCCCTAGATTAATCCCAAATTCATCCTTTCCCTCAAGCATAAGAAAGCAGGATCTCTTGCCCTCTGTCAAGCTAATCTCTTCACCTGTGCTCTAGATCTTATTCCCTTCCCATCCTATGCAAGGTCTTCTTTCTCATATCTTCAACTTATTTTTCATTCTATGTTCTTTACTTCTAATAACAAGTCAATTCTCATGGTTTCATGATCATCTACAAAAAGAAACATTCAAAAATCTTCATCTCTGGCTTAATCAGCTCTCAATTTCAGATACCTGTTAGCTTCTGAATATCTCTACTGCAGGGTCCACAGGAATGATAAAAAACAGGTCTAAAATTAAACTCATCATCTTTCTATTAAGACCAGCTCCACCTTTATTCCCTATCTCAGGGAATGGACCATCATCTATCTAGTTTCCAAACTATAAACCTAGTGTTATTCTTTTTTTTTTTTTTTTTTTTTAGGGGGGGCGGTTACTAGGGATTGAATTCAGGGGCACTTGATCACTGAGCCATATCCTCAGCCCTATTTTGAATTTTATTTAGATACACATTCTCACTGATTGCTTAGTGCCTTGCCATTGCTGAGGCTGGCTTTGAATTCATAATCCTTCTGTCTCAGCCTCCCAAACCACGAAAATTACAGGAATGTGCCACAGCACATGGCTAGTGTTATTCTTAACTCTTCTCTCCCTGATCTCCCTGATCTCCCTTATYAATATATCTGTTCAATTCTTATATCTGTTCACTTTTCTCCATCTCCAAAGCCATTTCTTGCTTCAAGTCCTTTTCACATCTCTAATGGATTAATCTCAAGGCACAATGAACCAGGTTACACTTTTCCAAATCCAGTGCTCTCTCTTCCTAACTTCAGGTCTTTGCAAATGCTATTTCCTTTGCTCTGCCTGTTCACTCTTCTGTGTTCTTCACTAGAATGCTCACCTTGAGAGCAAGGGGAGAACGTATTCACTGCATCTTTAATGCCTGGCACACTGTAAGTATTTAATAATTATTTATTGAAAAAAAGAAAAAAAGAAACCTTCTATACAAGCCTGTGATTTCCTACTGTCATTTCTCCTGGCTTTGAGAAAACCAAAACCCAGCCCAAGAGTTATAAAAATAGGATAGATCAGCCTAAAAGGCTGATGACAAACTAGACTAACCAACATACCCATGCTGCTTCAGTTAATTTTCTAAACGTACAGTCAAGCAAGAGAGAAAAAAATTAAATACAAAATCAGCTCAGTACAATGGCACATGCCTATAATTCCATGTACTTGGGAGGCTCAGAAAGGAGGAGTGGAAGTTCAAGGCCAATTCGGGCAACTTACCAACCTGTTCTAAAAATAAAAAATAAAAAGTGCTGAGGGAATAGCTCCATAGCAGAATTCCCCTGGGTTCAAACCCCATTGCCAAAAGAAAAGGTACAAACTCCCAAAGAATCTTAACATGACATCAGTGATGCACAACTGAAAGCAACCAAGTTCTAATCCTACATTTACTAAATTCTACAGTGCCACATAGTGGTGAGAGAAGAAAGCAGTAAAGATAAAAGACCTGTAAATGGGAAGGAAGTAGACATAAGGGAGCCTTAAGTGATTGGTGTACCCCACAAAGAGTGGGAATCATCTATAGAATGCTTCATAGTTATATGAGCTGCCTGACTTGGCCCCACCCCAGTGCACCCCACTCCATGCTGTGCCGCCCCACCCAGCACTGCCCTGGGGTTTAACAGAGCTAGTTTTGCTTACTGCATCACTCTTACTTACATCACTGGGACTCAGGCTGCCCAGCCCATTCTCCTGCTCAGAATCCTTCCCAGACTCAGTGCCCTGAGAGGACCTGGGATGGGATGGATGAATCCAGATCTCCAGGCGAGTGGTGTCATCTCCAACATGCCGGAAAGTAGATTTCTTTCCTTTTCGCCATTGATCGGGGCTCAGTTCAAATTCTTCGTGTTGCTTCTTTTCCATCTGTTCTGCCTATAGGGCAGACAGACACACCAAGCTCAGACTCTCCTGGAACTCATCTACTAAGAGCAGAGCCCTCACCTATATTTGTTGCCTAAAAACTATAAAAARGTAAAGAGTATAATACAATATCAAAGTAGCAGAGTATCATCCGCTTTGTTGCAGAAGTTTAAATTCTATGAACTCAACGCTTTGGAACACGTACACCACCCAAGGGCCCCTGATAGCTTTCACTCTGTGCAGCAGCTGACTGATTACCACCAGCACAGCCTGATGCAACCACTTGAGGACATTACTAGTCATTCCCCTGAGAATGAAGAGACACAAAGGGAAATGCATTTTCCTAAGAACGAATGATTTTTTACATCTCCACTTACCTTTCGTTTGGTCTCTTCAAACAAGCTCATAAGACTCTCCTTGGCAGTCAGGATAGGGTTGCTGGCAGCTAAACTGCGCATGTAGTAATACACAGCATCAAGCTTCCTCCTCTGTACAAAGAGGCCAGAGACACTCAGTCACCCAGTATTCTTCCCAATGCCAACACAACACACCAACCTAGGAAACTTTACAATCTCTCTCAGCCTGTCCCCCAAGCTATCAGGAATTCTACTAAGAAAATCAGAATGCTATCCATGAGAGATACATAATGCTATCCACGGCAATTACACAGGGGTCTCTACTTGCACAACACAGAACAATATCTTACAAGCAGAGGACTTCCAAGAACCAAGTACTCATATGAGGGAGAAAAGAACAAAAAAATAGTTGGGCACAGTGACACACACCTATAATCATAGCCACTTGAGCAACAACTTATCAACATCATATCTCAAAGTGAATATTAAAAAAAGAGTGCTCGCCTAGCATGCATGAGTCATTAGGTTCGATACTCAGCATAAAATAAAGATATTGTATCCACGTATAACTAAAAAATAAATACTTAAAAAAAAAAGACTGGGGATATAGCTCAGTGGTAAAATACACCTGGGTTCAGTCCCCACTCAGAAAGAAAGATAGAATGTCTGTCTCAAAATATGAACATCAATTTTATTTTGTTCTTAGAGAAAAAAATGTTCAGGTCTGGGGTTGTGGCTCAGCAGCAGAGTGCTCACCTAGCACATGTGAGGCCCTGGGTTTGATCCTCAGCACCACATAAAAATAAAGGTATTGTGTCCAACTACAACTAAAAAATATTTTTAAAAAAAGAATGTTCAATTCACTTTAAATTTCCTACTGTTACCAGAGTAAGTATGGTCTAATGAAATTAGGGGCCAGACAAACCTGAGTTCAACTGACTCATCAGGAGTTGATTTAGAGATCTTGGAAAAGTTACATAATAATCTTCCTGAACTCCCATATCCTCACCTTTAAAATGGGAATAATACCACCTACAGAGCAGTATCCACAGGTTTAGACAGTATCTGTGATGTGCTGATCACGTGACTTACATTTAGCTGTAATTAATGATGCTATCATTGTTATAATTTTTTAAATAAACAACTGGGTAAATRTTTTATGAATATTATTCAATGAATTCAGCAAATAAACACTCCGAGACCACTTTAAAAGCAATTAATATGGAAAAGTAAAGGAAGCTGGGCATGGTGGCACACACACAGTCTAAAGGAAAAGAACTTCCTGAACAATATAGCAAGACCCCATCTTGAAAGGTCAGGGGAGCTGGAGATGTAGGCCAAGTGGTAGAATGCTTGCCTGGAAAGCACACAGCCCTGGGTTCAATCCCTAGCACCTCAAATAAATAAATAAAATTTAAAAGGTAGAGGGGGCCAGTAGTTGCTGGAGAGCTAGGGGTATAGCTCRATGGTAAAGAACTTCTCTAGCATGTACAAGGTACAAGGCAACATGGAAGAAAAAGAGAGGAGGGGAGAGAAGGAAAAAGGATCATAAAGAAGGAAAAACACCAAAAATCACCGAAACAAAGGGGAAGGATATTCAAAAGGTTTTACTCTATTACTTCATATATAGTTTCAATATTTTCTGTTATCATTCTTTAAAACTCTCATCTGTATTCATCCAGCATGTTTAAAGGTGTACTTATTTCTAAGGTCAACCACCTGAGTCTGAATCTAGTCCTTTCACTTATTAGGTATGAAATTAATCTAGTTCCAGAGAGGTTTCCTTATTTGTAAACTGGARATATTTACACAAATATGGCTTCTAGAAAGATTACCCTTTCACAATATATAGAGTTTAACAGACTATCTGGCCCACCATTGTAGCCAATTAAGCAGTAGCTATTTTTAATATTATTCCAATTCATACTAATCTCTACTTATACCACTCACTTGATTTCAAATTGTATTTTATCTATTATATTTTTTCATATTTAAACATTTCTGAAATTGTGATATAACTTACAATCAATATCTACCATTATGTGTTATTTTAATTTGCAACATTTTTCTTAGTGGAACACCAAATAATGGAACATCTAACAATCAATTACATATTTTACCAAGTCTAATTTGTATTACTGTCTATACACCTCACCTGTCTTCTCAACAAAGCTTTTTTCAGAGCAAAACCCAAATCATATATTTTACCACTCACATCATTTCACAAAGTTCTGTACATAGCATATTCTCAATAAATACCCAATTCACTAAATGACTGACAAGAGGATACAGAAAAGTTGGGGAAATGTTAATAGACAACTAGGATGAGAGGAGACAAAAGAAGAGAAACAGAAAAAGAACTTGAAAGGCAAGCTAATCTAGAACAGAGGGCTATCAAAGAAAAAAATATCAATTTAATTAGAATGTCAAAAAGCCATTGAGGGAATTCAGCAAAGTTGTTGTAAGATCACACACAAAATCTAATATGATATCACAATGAATAATCTGAAAAGGAAATTAAGAAAATAATTCCTTTTGAAATAGCATAAGGAAAAAATAACATAATTAGGGTTTGGGGACATTGCTCAAGGATAGAGCATTTGCCTCCCATGTGTGAAACCCTGGGTTTGATTCGCAGTCCCAGCTACTTGGGAGGATTGAGGAGAGAGAAATACTTGAATCCAGGAGTTTCAGGTCAGCCTGAGCAACATACTGAGACCCTATCTCAACAACAAAATTCAACATTATGGAAATGCAAATCAAAACCACAATTCAATAACACTTCACACCTATTTGAACAACTACTATCAGAAAATAAGCCAGGTGCAGTGGCAAACACCTGTAATCCCAGCAGCTGGGGAGGCAGAGACAGGAAGATTGCAAGTTCAAAGCCAGCCTCAGCAAAAGCAAGGTACTAAGCAACTCAGTGAGGTTCTCACTCAGTGAGGTTCTCTAAATAAAATACAAAACAGGGCTGAGGATGTGGCTCAGAAGTCAAGTGCCCCTGAGTTCAATCCCCAATACTTTCCCCACCAAAAAAAAAAAATAGGGCTAGGGTTGTGGCTTAGTGGTACAGTGCTTACCTAGCATGTGTGAGGCAGTGGGTTTGATTCCAGCACCACATACATAAATAAATTAAATTAAAAAATAGAAAATAATTAAGTGTTGGAAAAGCAGAGAAACTGGAACTCTTGTGCACTGTTGGTAGGAATTTCAAATGGTGCCACTGTTTTAAGAAACCAGATAATTATTTCTTTAAAAATTGAAAATAGCGGGGCTGGAGTTATGGCTCACTGGTAAGAGCACTTGCCTAACATTTGTGAGGCCCTGGGTTTGATTCTCAGCACTGCATATAAACAAATGAATAAAATAAAGGTCCATAACATCTAAAAAAATTTTTTTTAAATTGAAACCAACTAGGCACAGTGGCACATTGCCTATAATCCAAATGGCTTAGGAGAATGGAAAATTCAAAGCCAGCCTTAGCAACTTAGCAAGGGTCTAAGCAACTTAGTGAGACCCTGTCTCAAAAATAAATCTTAAAAATGGGCTGGAGATGTGGCCCAGTGGTTAAGCAACCCCAGTACCAAAAAAAAAAAAAAAAAAAGAAAAAAAGAACTGGACATGGTGGCACATGCCTGTAATCCCAGAGACCCAGGAGGCTGAGGCAAGAGGCTCACAAGTTCAAGGCCAACCTGGGCAACAGAGCTAGATACTGTTTCAAAACAAAAATACAAAGGAGTACTAATGTAGCTCATTAATAAAACACCCCTGGGTTCAATCCTCAGTAACCCCCCCAAAAATTAAATATGACCATATAATCTAGTAATTCTAATCCTAGAACCCTACCCAAAATAACTGAAAGCAGGGTCTCAAAGAGAAATTTGTACACCCATGTTAATCAGAGCATTATTCACCGTAGCCAAAACGTAGAGACACAACCGAAATATTCAATGACAGAGAATGAATATAGAGTAATCCATTCCAGAAATAAACTAACTCATAAATTTTAAATTACATGTCATGTAAATAGCAAGGTGAAATCTCTTTTTAGTATACATGTTGTTGCAATTATTCTACTTTATCATTTGTTAAAGCTGTTAATTTCTTAGTGTGAGTTACAATTAAACTTTTAATATAGGTATCTATGGGGCTGGGGATGTGGCTCAAGCGGTAGCGCGCTTGCCTGGCATGCGTGCGGCCCGGGTTCGATCCTCAGCACCACATACCAACAAAGATGTTGTGTCCGCCGAGAACTAAAAATAATAAATATTAAA